GTCCGCAGCCTCAATCCCCCGCGGCCGCGGCGCCGGAGAGCAGAAAGCAGGCCTGCACTGTGGGAGAGGCTGGTGGCACAGGGCGCTGCAAGGACTATGTCACTTTTCCCGTCCACCCCGCTAGTTCTCCCGGCGGGGCAGCAAGGGGCCGCTCCGTGCCAGACTTGGAGGGTACGCCCAGGAACCGGGGGCTGGGACTCTGTGTAGGAAGGTGGCCTTTGCTGAGAAAGGAAGAATCCGGAGGGGGCGGGGAACTGGGGCTGTCTGAGGGTGGTCCCGTGACGTCCCGAAGAGCCTGGATTCTTTTATCTTCCAAAAGGGATACAAGCTGTAGCTCATTCTGTTTCTGAGTCCCCTAAAACTTTCCTTCCTTCCTTTCTTCTCCGTCTCTCTCTCTTTCTGTGCCCCCCAAAACACACACACACACACACATACACACAGGGTTTCTCTGTGTAGCACTGGCTGTTCCGGAATTCACTCTGTAGACCAGAGGGCCTCAAACTCACAGAGATCCGTCTGCCTCTGCCTCCTAAATGCTGGGATTAAACGCGTGCGCCACTGCCTTTTTTTCTTGATTCCACTGCACATCAGAAAGGAGGCCTGGAAAAGCAAAACCCCAGCTATCCTTTCAGGGCCAGCCTCCGGATGCCCCTCCTGAGAATGGCTGTGTCACTAGCACTCACCATTCCACACACCACGTCCAAGTTCTGCAGTACAGTCGCTCCTTTAGCACTGCTTGGCTGAGGCACATGGCCTTGCTATATCATTCTGTATCTGAAGGAAGAAACAGAACTCCAGAAGCCCAGTGGCTAGTCACAGGCCACTCAGCGTGTTGCACCAGGGCATCTTGGTTCAAACCGCTCTTGCATTTAGCTATAGGCCTACATAGTGCCTCCTCCTGGTTCTTTAGCTCCTTCAGTACCCCTTCTCCTGGAAGTTCCCTGTAATTCTATCACTACATAGCCAGACAGTCTAGGAAAAATACACCAGATAGAACAATAGCTAATACGCTAACTGATCTCTGTTGGCTTTAAGGATGTCAAGGGGTTGGGGGAGGAGTTTTATTTTAACAGACAAGTCTAAATAGAAGTGAGTTACAGGGGATTTTAGGGACCATGGTAAGATGGCAGGGAAGATATTTAAGGGCGCACACCTTGCAAACCACATTGACTAAGCAGTCCATACCTGTGGAGGAAGTCCTGGCCTACCTGGAATGAACTGCATTTATTATTGAGTTAAAGTTTCAGTACCATTTACTTGCTGGTTCATCAGTTTGCTTTTAGCTGTTTTCAGGCCCCCCTCCACACACACACACACACACACACACACACACACACACACACACACACAAATACACACAGATGGTGAGTAAAAACATACTTATATATCAAAAGACCAATTCTTCATTTTCTGAATGTCAGGTTTATTTAGTTCATGAAATATCCTGGCTCAGTGCTAGGCACCAGTGACATACAAACCAGAACTTTTAGCACCGACCTCCCCTGGAGGGTGCTCGGAGGAAGAAGCAGGCTTGTGGATTAGGGCTGCTGTGGAGTAGAAAGGTCAAGTAAGGGCCTGCTATGGGGTACTACATTTGGGACAAAGGCAGCAGAGCCATGACCAGATACAAGAACAGTGTGGCTGAGCCACAGGGTCACCTTAGCGTACTGGTCAGAGATCAGGTGATACCTGGCTTGGCTGTCACAGCATCAGGATTTTGCTGGGTGTCTGCCTTGCTTTCTGACTTGATAATGGGATGACCCCAGTCCAGGGGACACACACATTCAAGCTGCCGCAGGAACTCTAGGTCAGAGTGCCATGATTGAGGATGAAGACTGGCTGATGCGTGTCCTTAGTATCGGGGGCCGTTGGGTATGGGTAAATGAACACCACGGCCTATTTTCTCCTATAAAAGAGATACCCGAGATCAGATGTATTTGTGAGGTCTTCAGCGCTTTAAAACATTGGCAGTTAGCTAAAAGGTTAAAACACCATTTTGACTGATTCTAGGGAACCCCAGAAGACACCTCACAGTTGCTTGTTGTGATATTCAGGCTGCAGACCTCAAGGGACTTCTCTCTGATGCTCTGGAGCTCCCAACTACCTGTGAAGTGTCTAAGGGTCATTGCCAAAGTGGTCAGAAGTGAGAACATGGCCCAGAAACTAAAGTGCTTGCCATCCAAGCATGAGGACCTGAATTGGGATCACCAGAACACGTGTAAAATGCTGGGTGTGGGGGACTGGAGCAATGGCTCAACAGTTAAGAGAACTTGTTACTCTTGCAGCGGCCAGGAGTTCAGTTCTCAGCCCCTACATGATGGCTTGCAATCATCTGTAGGGGGACCTTTCTCTCCTGACAGCTAGTTCTCAAATAACCACATAGACACTTATTATTAATTATAAATGTTTGACCGATAGCTTAGTCTCGTCACCAGCCAGCTCTTACAACTTAAATTAACCCATTTCTATTCATCCACGTGCTGCCTGAGGCTCCTTTACCTCACCTATGAACTTCTCATATTGCTTCTTCCTCATCTGGCTTGCGACTCTTCAGACTCTGCCTTTCTTCCCAGCATTCCCTCTGCCCCCCAAATCCTGCCTAGCTATCTGCCAATCAGCTTTTTATTAACAATGAGAGCAACACATTTTCACAGTGTACAGAGGATTATTCTATAGCAATCATCCATAATTCCAGTTCCAAAAGATCTGACACCCTCTTCTGACCTCTACTAACACCAGGCACACACATGGTGAGCATACACGCATGCAGTCAAAACATACAAACAAAATAAATCTTAAAAAAAAAAAAAACAACTGGACATGGTAATCTCAGCACTGAGGAGGTGGTGATAGGCAGATCTCTAGAGCTCATTGGTCAACCAGTCTAGCAAAATCAGAGGGCTTCAGTTTAGTGAGAGACCCTGACTCAAAAAAAGTAAGTTGCTGTCAGCCTTTTAGATCATTGCTCTTGGGATGCAGAGGCAAGCAGATCTCTTTGAGTCTAGGGCCAGCCTAGTCTACAGGGCAAGTTGCAGGTCAACCAGGACTACACAGTAATACTGAGTCAATATAATATACAATAATAATAATAATTAACAATGAGGAAGAGAGAGGCCTAATATTGACCTCTGGCTTCCACAGAGCTCCCCCCCGTTACACACACACACACCAGAACTGCCACTCAACTCTTGGTTGTAGAAGTTTGTAACCTGTCAGTAAAACTTGCATTTTCTTATTTTTTTAATCTCTCCCCAAATTCCACTCAGTCTTCCTCTTTGCTCTCCCCTGAGTCAGTGTTGTGAGCAGCTGGCACTGTCTTGGCAGCATGGCAGGAAACACTTTTCTTAGGGCACCCGTATCCAATGGGAACCAAGTCTGTTTATTTCCTCTGCCTGGCGCAGGGCCACAGGAAGCCCGGCATTTGTATCTGAATCCCTTACCTTACAGAACTTCTCGTCTTGTGCTAACACGGAAACATTTCACTGGAAAGAACTGAAAGGCACCTCCCACCCCACCCTGCAATCTATCTTCTGGAGATGATTGAGCAATTTGAAATACAGTAATTATAAGTCACTATCAAAATGGGCTAGCTCCAGATTCAGGGAATCAAGAATTCAGCCTCCACCTCCTGTGTTTTATTTCTGGAAATACCTTCCTCTTAATTACCCACTTTAAAAAAAACCACACACACCACATTAGGAATTCAGAATGGATTTGATTTGGGCACAGTAGATGAGCACACAGATAGAGCCTACAGATAGATTGAGATTGAAGCCTTTCTTTTGTGCCAGCTTTTTACAGGTCACGGGGATTAAGTATTAGGGAGGGTTCTGACATTGGGTTGACTGTGTGAAGGAAGACATAGAATGTGTGTTAATCCTCAGCCTGATGCTAGGCACACAGAAAGTGCCTAATAAATTACAATTACCCCATTGCTAAGCACTATCACGATCCTAACTTTTATGATAATTAGCATAAATGAGCTAGCCTTATTCTACAAAGTATTTTCCAGTCTGTAGAGTAGATGAACTCAAGCTATATATGCATGTATATGCTGTACTGACAATTCAATTACAAAAACACCTCTAGCCTAGTCTTCTGACCTGCACTGGGATCCAGAGACCATCCGATACAGCACGCAG